GAAAAATATTATAGAAAAATATTATTTCAAAAATAAATATGGTATAAAAGTATATAAAGTGTAAGAACGTAATTGTCTCGTTTACATAACTATTTAGGAAATTTTTTAAAATAAAAACCAAAAACAAATAGCTTAGTATAGTATCGTTAACTCAAAATAATTGCAATCTTTACATTTTACAAAATTCTTTTTCGATGGATACAACTTTTGGATTTATCACATGGGTGTCGTATTCAGTTGTCATTTTATACAAACATTTTTGTATGAGAAGCCATACCTGTTGAGATTCTTTAGGATAACAGACATGCAGTACGAAAAAGCACTTGTAGCATACGTCGATAGCTTTGAGAGCACTCTCAATTTTATATAATATTTTATCGATGCAAACGTAGTATGCGTTAATTGAGCTAGCGTCACGTCCTACGAAAATAATAAATGGTTGCAGAGTCAAATTTAATGCAGCAGCTCTATTCCTTTGACGTTCAATATTATGTTCAAGATCAGCAGGACTCTGGAATAAGAAGAAATAAACATTACTTTCAGCTCAACTACAGCTTAAAAATAGTTTTACGTAAAATATAGAGGAATATAAAAATAATACTTACATTTACTGATAAAATAAAAGAATTTAATGATTCAGTTATTGTAGGCTTGATGGTCCTTCTATCCTTGCGAATTCGTATTGTTGAGATACATAACGCTGGCAATAATTTTAGGAGTCTAATATTTTTTTCTTCTAAAAAAGACATTACGAAATATATATATTTTACTATTAGAGTATGATAGTAAAGTAGTAAATAGAATTGAATGACTGCATTGAAAAATAGATAGAATTTGATGATATTGAATAAATAAATGGAATAAATTTGTAACGGTTCACCTTTCCCGTACGCCGCGGATCAAGGCTCGCCGGTGCCAGGATTCGGGAGAAGGGGGAAACTCCAACTAACTCTACCTCAGTATAAGCGGTTTAAATAATTAGTTTTATTCAAGTGGGTATAGTAAAGATATTTAACACTGAAAGATGTGCGAAGCAACATGCAGGTACGGCGTGTACAGAGTTTATTATTTTTTAAATATTTTATATTTTTTATACGCTTATATGTATTTTGTGCTTTGTATTACTTACGGATACGGTTTTTTGGTAATAGTAATTGATAAATGTGTTATAACAACATCTGCTAATTTTTTACGTATTTGTGTGTTTAATTGACCATACTTTTTATAATGATTTAAAATCATAAGGCCAGTGGCAGTTTCTTCTAAAAATTTTTCTATGTCCTACAAATCGAGATAATTGTTTAAAATCTTTATATATAAGAATCTTATAAGTAAAAGTTTTGTAACCAAAGTTTACAAGAAAACAAGTATCAATTCTCCAAATATTTAACCAATACAATGTAAAAAAGTAATATGTTAAAAATGCAAATATGTACCAACTGATGAATTGTCTCGATAAGCTGCAGTTCATCTATGTCACACGATTCAGATTCTATTTTTTGATTTTCTTTGTTTTGTTCTTTTTGCTCGATATGTTTCTCATCATTTGAACAAACATATTTCTTTTTAATGTCTTGTTCAATATTCTCAATGTGTACATTATCAACTATTTCAAGATTACTTGTGTTTTTCTCGATTTTAAGACTAAATGTTTCGGATATCATATTATTGGTTGTGTTTTTCATGTTTACAGGGCTAACCGGTATGGATGTTATATTAATTCAATACAATGTAAAAAAGTAATATGTTAAAAATGCAAATATGTACCAACTGATGAATTGTCTCGATAAGCTGCAGTTCATCTATGTCACACGATTCAGATTCTATTTTTTGATTTTCTTTGTTTTGTTCTTTTTGCTCGATATGTTTCTCATCATTTGAACAAACATATTTCTTTTTAATGTCTTGTTCAATATTCTCAATGTGTACATTATCAACTATTTCAAGATTACTTGTGTTTTTCTCGATTTTAAGACTAAATGTTTCGGATATCATATTATTGGTTGTGTTTTTCATGTTTACAGGGCTAATCGGTATGGATGTTATATTAATTATATCAAGTGGAATTGCATTCTCCTGTGCATTAAATATATAGTACTATATTAAAACATATTTTATTCATCACTAATACGACTTTGCTATTCAATTACATTTATTTATTTGAATAAATTTTCTCTTTAATAAATTAACTCCAAGCGTAGTACAATAAGAGGAATAATATTCCATTACTTCCATTTATATCAAAGTATTTTTATTTTAATAATAGTAATAAAAGTAATTTACCTTGTTATCGCAAATTATCTCTATTTTAGATCTAGATTTTTGAAACTTTTCTAAGCTATCTTCAAATTTAATTCTTTTGCCCATTTTAGGTATAAGAATTTCTGTTTTTTGAGCCAGGTTTTAATCGAAGAAATGAATAGAAATCAATTTCTTCACCTACATATCAAAAGAGTGCTTATTTACAGATTATAAAGAATTAATTAATCAATTATTACAATATTAATCAACGATCATGAACTTTCTCAAGAGAAGAATAAATTTCATTTATTTTTTCATCTTTTTTTTACGTGTCTTTAGCTTACGTAATGTACGATATTTTCAGTTTAACACGCAATGACCCGTATTCTCATCTTTCACCGACAAATATATCAGAAAATGCGTTTAGCCGGCATATATAATTCACGTCACATATATTACATTTTCGGAAATACATGAGTGAATTTGTAACGATGCATCCCCCCATCGTTACTGCACCGTACCCGGCCGCCGATCCGCCGGAAGTCCGCCGCCCAACGAACACCGGTCGGGCAAATGCGGAGGCGCTGAGCGCCCATTTTTAAATAATATCAGAAACGCGTAAACATCTAACCGCCGTTAGGCGCGCGAAAACATCGAGAACCGACGACGCGCTCGGGTAACCGACCGACCGCTACCGAAAATACCCGAGTCGCGCGCGCCGTTTCAACGATAAACCAGATTAGAACAATAGGCGAATTACGCAGACGCGCGCGCCGAAAACCGGTATAAATAGAGCGCGTTTCTGAACATCGAAACCAGATCTTCCGCACCGCCAGAGTCTGTAAGACGCCTGGAAACCGCCTAGATCCTTAACCGCTCAGAGAGAGAGAGAAAACGGGGTTGGGAGTACTCAGCCTCCGCCGAGAGTTTGCGGCATCTCCGAGAGCGATCCTTCCGAAACCGATTAAAACGAGGCAAACGGGAAGGGCGTACTCGTCCCCGTCGAGAGTTCTCGACACCGCGAATTTTATTATAATAATAGTAATGAAAGTAATTTACCTTGTTATCGCAAATTATCTCTATTTTAGATCTAGATTTTTGAAACTTTTCTAAGCTATCTTCAAATTTAATTCTTTTGCCCATTTTAGGTATAAGAATTTCTGTTTTTTGAGCCAGGTTTTAATCGAAGAAATGAATAGAAATCAATTTCTTCACCTACATATCAAAAAGAGTGCTTATTTACAGATTATAAAGAATTAATTAATCAATTATTACAATATTAATCAACAATCATGAACTTTCTCAAGAGAAGAATAAATTTCATTTATTTTTTCATCTTTTTTTTACGTGTCTTTAGCTTACGTAATGTACGATATTTTCAGTTTAACACACAATGACCCGTATTCTCATCTTTCACCGACAAATATATCAGAAAATGCGTTTAGCCAGTTTATATAACTTACGTCACATATATTACATTTTCGGAAATACATGAGTAAATTTACCGATAAAAATGAAATAAGGTTATGCACAAAATATAACTAACAATAAGATTATATAAACAGGATATATTTTTTACTTACTTGCAAAGACTTCTATGAGGTCTGGAAAGCCCCAATCTTTTAATAAAGTTTCAACTTTCTTATCCATAGGGAGGAAGTTGCGAGAAGAGGAAGAACCGAAAAACGAAATAATCGCTTCTAGTTCTATTTGTATTGTCTATCACCTTATTGTCTATTAATTATTTTACTGTATCTTTGCACTTGCTTTTTTCATCTAGTGTTTAGAACAAATTATTAGTGCGTTTTCTCGTTTTATTTCTTTATGGCTATCAAACGAACTAATACTGACAAGGACAAACAATAACTGCAAAAAAAATGAAGATCGCGCAGCGAATGCAAAAGTGATAGACGTAGTATACGTAATATACTCGTTGCGTATTCTCCGTTCTTCTGCACTGCCTGTTCACACACGTTGGCACATGCGTGGCACATACACGATACGTAACTTAGTGTGACTGTGTTACCAGAAACGAGTCCCGGCTCACACGCACACAATCAGAGAATCTCGTACATGTACTGCGCAGAGCGCTCTGCGTAGTACATGTACGGGGTTCTCTGATTGTGTGCGTGTGAGCCGGGACCCGTTTCTGGCAACACAGAGTGTGGCACGGGAGCTATCCCCTCCACATGCTACCGGGGTCGGTTACTGGCATCACTGCCTGTTCGTTCTCGTCAGTACTTTTTTGTTCTAGATATTACAGGTTAACAAAGCAAGTGCAAACATAGAAAGTGATATTGTAAAGTAATAGTATAGTTATTTATACAAAAGAAATACTTAAGATCTAAAGTTATTTTTTTGTAGTTGTGTTCTTTCTCTCTTCACACAACCTTCTCATTATGGATGCAGCAGTCGAAAATTTATTAAAACAATAGGGTTTTATTGATCTCGTACAAGTGTTTGCAAGTAAGTAAAGAATATATTTTACTTATCTTTATCTATATTTTACACAATGGCTAGTATTCTCATTTTAATTGTATCAATATAAATATATTTATTTATTTCTGAAAATCTAATATATGTAACATGAACTGAATGCTAAACGCATAATTATTGCTATGTGAGATATTCAACGTAACGTTAATATAGTAACCATCTATAAAAAAAAAAAAAAAGTTACTGTATCTAAGAAATATTTACTATAAAATAAAAAATACATATTATATGTGAAGGTTTAAAATTGTGCGAACCTCATCTACAATGGTTAAAACATAATAACGAACCATGGACTGATGTTGTTGAACATTGGGAGGCAAGACGACTTGCTAGAATAAGGGATATGACTATATGACTAATCGGATGGAAATGTTCATCTACTTTTTACGAAATGGCCAATTTTGAAACATCCGCAGGATTACACATTAGTTAATATTTTAGGAGTAGTATTGTTATTTCAAAGAGTTCGTAGAAGCCATGTGACTGATCATTTTTTACAATTTTTATAGATTGAATCTGATTATGCTGCACAATTCGGAAACGTGATCTCTATATACAATGAATGGCCAGAATTTTCAAAAAAAATATATTCTCTCATGAAAACTGAAATTAAAGACAGAGTATATGAAGAACAATTAGATCAAATAAATGAAAATATATCAGAAGGTAATATGAAAAATTAATATTTTCTATCATTATTCAATCTATTCACAATCTAGTCACTTTACTATCATATATATATATATATATAATATATATACATATATTTCGTATATTATTAATATACATATATACATATATTATTAATATATTTTTAGAAGAAAGAAATATTAGACTCCTAAAATTATTGCCAGCATTATGTATCCCAACAATTAGAATCCGTAAGGATAGGAGAAATATCAAGCCTACAATAACTGAATCATTAAATTCTTTCATTTTATCAGTAAATGTAAGTAATATTTTTATATCCTCTATATTTTTTTATGTAAAATAATTTTATATATGTGGAAATAAAATTACTACAGTTGAGCTGAAAGTAATGTTTATTTTTTCTTATTCTAGAGTCCTGCTGATCTTGAACATAATATTGAACGTCAAAGGAATAGAGCTGCTGCATTAAATTTGACTCTGCAACCATTTATTATTTTCGTAGGACGTGACGCTAGCTCAATTAACGCATACTACGTTTGCATCGATAAAATATTATATAAAACTGAGAGTGCTCTCAAAGCTATCGACGTATGCTACAAGTGCTTTTTCGTACTGCATGTCTGTTATCCTAAAGAATCTCAACAGGTATGGCTTCTCATACAAAAATGTTTGTATAAAATGACAACTGAGTACGACACCGATGTGATAAATCCAAAAGTTGTATCCATCGAAAAAGAATTTTGTAAAATGTAAAGATTGCAATTATTTTGAGTT